CTAGTTGTCTAACACGCTGTGTCCATTTTCTCTTGTAGATGGATCTGGGACACCCAGGACCAACCTCCCCGCTCACCTCGCAGCCCATCCCTCCTCGAGGGAGCCTTGTGGGGCTGCCATCTCCTGGGACGTTCTCTCCAGCCACCGTCCCGTTTGTCCCGGACGGGGCCATTCGCTACCAGCCAGAGGGATCCAATGGGGCATCGTATATCGGAGGGAACGTGCCAGGCGGGTCGAGGCCGGACTCTCTCTGTGAACCGTTCCACGCTCGGCTGCAGCCAGACGGGTCTCGCCGGGCTGAACCCCAAGAGCAGGCCGGCGGCAGACCAATCCCACCCCTCTCCTTGGAGATCAGCAGGGCTCAGCCGGAAGGGTCAGGCACGCAGGGGTACAACACTCCAACCTTGCGCTCTCCGGTAGAGCTGCGCCCCTTGTCCCCTGGATCCAGCAGCTCCTCCTCCCTGTCCAGCCTGTCTCCCTCCATGAAACTTAGCCAGTCCCCAAGCAGGGGTGTGCTTCCCGACCTCTGCGCCTTGGACCCCCTGACTTCGGGGATCCTGGCCACCGTGGAACTGAAGGACTCTCTCCCCAAGGCCGAATCCAGCGACCACATCTGCCTGAGCCGGCCGGGCTCGTCCCACCGGCTGGGCTCTCTCTCCAAAGCCATCTCCAGCGAGTACATCTCGGGGGGGAGGGTGGGCCCTTCCAAGTCCGCCATGCTCTCGAAGGCCGAGTCGGAAGAACTGACCTCCTACTCAAGGGTCCGGCTCTCCCCCCAACTGCAAGATCTGCGGGGCAGCGACTCCAGCCGCACAGAGAACTTCCTGGGAAGATTCGGCCGGCTGCAAACAAAGCAGGACAAGGAGTTTCGGTGAGGTGCAACGGGAGGGGGGCAAGGGTGGGGGGAAGTTGCGCCGCCCGAAGCAGTTTAAGGGAAGGCACGGGTGCCCTGGACCCTCGGCTTCGGCTTGGTTTCAGCCCGTTGCCAGGGTTTCTTCTGGCACCTAAATTAAGGGACAGAAATTGTGGAGGGGACTTTAGCCAACTTTGACTGCGCTGTCTGGTTCCCCCCACCCCCGCATTAAGCTAAATTGCTAAAAAACTCTCAAGGCTTTTAAAGCTAGTCTTTTGCAATGGTTAGTGGTGAACTGGGGCCAGGGAGTCCTGGGTTCAAGGCCCAAGGTCAGATTATGGAGCTCTTCCTTGGGAAGGTAAAAGGAAGAGAGACTACCTGAGTCAGCCTTGAGCTCCTTGGAGGAGAGGTGGAACAGCAATGGGATAAAGCTGAGAAGTTGCACTTTCTCCCCAAGAATCCCTGAGGGTTGTGCATGGTGAAAGGGGTCTGGAGCACTGACTTGCTGGGAGCACGTTTACCTGGCCGGCAGCTCCTGTGTTCACTCAATGAGCTTAATTTGGTTACTGAGTAAGCCCATTTCTGCATTTGCACAATTCGGGTTGTGTTTGCAGAACACAGGAACCCCCTGCCCCTCCCCACGCAGGTAATCAAGGTTAAAACTAAAGGCGAACACATTTATGGATGCAGCTAAACAGCCTTTAACTGACCGGGCATGCGGATGCAGCCAGCGTGATTCCTGCTGGCGATTCTTTGCCACCCGTGTTGCTTTAGAAGGGAGAGACGATGCAACTATTTCTACTCTTGAGAGAGGATGCTTCTGTGGAGGCTCTTTTGCACACTTCAGGACTCCCTGGGCAATCTTAAACAGATCACAGTCTAAAGGTTTGCCATCCTTCATGGATAAATGGGCCAGAGAAGCCACTGCCCCACTGACCCCAGGAAGTCTAGGCACCTGCTCTCAGAGGGCGCTCTGATGTCCTACCAGAGCTAGGCTGGACTGCCAAATTTGTAGGCAGTGGTGATGGGGAGGGGAGCACCCTGAAGGTGGTGACCCAGCTTGTCTGCCTCTCCCGCGCACTCTTTCCTTCTCAAAATTCCTTGGCAAACTCCTGTCGTCTTCTCTTTTCTCAGTAGTTTTCTCTGGTTACACATAGAGAGGAGTGTGTGTGTGGGGGGGAGGGAAGCTGAGATTTTAGGAGCCAAACATAAGCTTTGCATGCAGAAATCCTGAGTTCAGTCCAGTTATCTTTTCTTCCCAATTGGGGATAACGAGACCGGAAAACGGGCCCCCGAAATTGAAAAGGAGAAAAGGAATTAAATGTGCGGTGTGGTGCCAACACAGCTCTTAGGTTTTGCTGGCCTGGTTAAGCATGTTGTGTGAACATGTAAACATCTTAGTAAACACTTGCTGCAAGTAAGCCACATTGTTGGATTAAAGAGATAAGGGGGGTCTCCATGGTAACACTGATGTACTCATCCCTTCGTTGTATTTAAAAGCCCAGAAGGGATGATTTTGGTAAATGGTACGCACAGAAAACGTGAGTCTGCCTTTCCTCCTTGTCAAATAACGGCATGTTGCTTGCCCTGTGTTCTTTTAGAAAAAAAATAGTTTGTTAACTGTGTTTTTTCTTCAACTTTTTAAAGCATCCCTGGGGATTTTATTGAAGGATAGGATATCCACCCCCACCCTCTGAATGAAATCAGTGAATCAAGACCAGCCTCAGCAATTGCCGAGTGGGCAGCCCAGCCATGCGCCTCAAGATGATGTGCGTGTTAAGCTGTGTGTATGAGAGGCCCACCCACCTGCCTTCCCAGAGATGCAGCTTCTAGAGACCCCGGGAGGGGACCAGAGGGCGATTTCAGGCGGATGGAAAGGTTAGGGCACCTCCCCAGGGGAAAAGGTGGGCCCTTCCCCCAAACAGGCTCAGGAGGAGTGTGTGGGAAGTGAGCCCGTGGGGTACGTGGGCACGGAGGTCTTGCCTTGACTGCCAGGCAAAGGGGCTGGACCCCATCTCCGTTTCTTTCCCCCTTCTGACTTAGTTCGATTTCTCTTCCTTTCTCCTTTCCTGAACCTGTCCATTTCAGCCCCATCATTGTGAGTTGGATGGACTGAACATGATATTAAAAAAACCCCTTTGCGCTCAAATGTGTAAACATGTCTCAGAACACATGTGTCTTTTGTAGCTTTGCCTGGGGTGCCCCGCTTTTACACGTCAGTGTCGTGGACTGAAGCATTTTGGTCCAGTTCGCTCTGTCAGAGGCTTCTCCGTCCCCCGACTGAAGGATGGCGGTGCAAAATTTGGAGGAGCGCACCTTTCAGATCCAAAGAGTTTTTAGTTGGTGCCTCACTTTGAGAATGAGAAACGAGGCTGCTCATTCACATGCAAATTGCAACGCGAGAGATGTACGATGCTATGACAGGCTCCGTCTAGGACAGGGTTCCTCAACCTTGGCCACTTTAAGACGGGTGGACTTCAACTCTTGCTGGCTGGGGAATTCTGGGAGTTGAAGTCCACCCGTCTTAAAGTGGCCAAGGTTGAGGAACCCTGGTCTAGGAGATACCTGATGCCAGACTACCAGCATAGCACATGATGCCTTTGCTCCAGCCCTTCTTGTGTTCCTCAAACCCACCTTAGCTGCCTCTTTAAATCTGCAGTGAATCTCTTACTTCTGGATGCCAACTGGCTCCTTTCTGTGTGTGCAGTTTAATTATGCTAATGCCCTGGGATTTATCACCTCCATATGATGCCAGTGGGCTCCCGACAGCCCCTTCCAGGAGTTCCTGTCAAGGATGGCAAAAGTCCACTTGACCAGCCAATGTCCTTTAGCGGCCAAAAGACTTCATCCGCATTATTAAAATAGTGTTGACATCATCGTTCTCGATACGGTGGGCTTCTAATGCTGCTTGCAAAACCCTTTCCGAAATTGCAACTGAATTATAATTTTCCGTAGGGCAGAATTATAATATTATTTAACATGTGATGCACAAGGGAGTACAAATAAATCCACCTTTTTGTTATTGTGTAATCAAATTCTACCACATTTAGTTTTTGGCGAGGACCTGCTGTGTAATTGAACTCTCCCCACCTACTTTTTGAATGGGTCCCCCAGCCAGCCAGCCAGGCCACCCTCAAAACCTCCCTATCATTGCTGCTGGTTGAGCCCTGAAATATGAGATTTGAAATAAGAACCTCTTAATCCTAGAAGATGTGGGATAGTTTCAAACTCTCCCAGAGGATACCTTCCTGCAAAGGCGCCCCGGTGGAAGACAGTTGTGACCGGCTGCCGCCAGCTCGGTCTGGCCAGGGGTTCTTAGCTCACCTCCCCAGGATTCCTCCCTTCGGGGCAGTTTCAGGAAAATGGGGGGCAATGTGCTTTGGCGCTATCTGCCCACAGCCCCAAAACACAGAACGTAGCATATTTTGTGCCGTTCAAAAAATACAAGGGTATGTCCGTAACGATGTCTTCTGGCATACGGGGAAGGTATGCATGAGGAATTCCCTTATGGAACCAACAATGCTCAATCTTTCCATATATCTGTTAAAAAAAAGAGTTGCTTGGGGAAAAGGGAATGTAGGGACAGGAAGAAGGCTACAGTTGCATGCCAGATTTCCAAATAAGAACAATACAGTCAACCTAGGTAAACTAATGATTAATTATCTCCTTTGGGGGATGTTTATTGATGTAATGGTATGTGGGAAAGACCTTGGGAGATGGGGCTAAGGGATGGTGCCCAGGGAATGGTCAGATAAGAGGGGGTGCAGCCCGCAGCTGCATAGTGGGTGGAACAAGAGGCTCAGAAGGGACCCTCCCTAAGACCCTCAGGGTGGGTGGGGGGAGAATTGTACTTTCAGACCTGCAGGATTCTGTTAATGCAGCTTTACAATAAAGTAGAATTAGCTTAGCTGGTTGTGTTTCCTGTCTGGTCTACCTGGTAAGGCTGACATCAATCTTGCAAATCTGAAAGTACAATTCTCCCACCGTCCCCTTTACAGCCCGAAAACCTAGGGAGGGTCCAAGGACAAGAGGGAATAGAGTCCAGAAATTAGGTGAAACGTTTTCAATTGTGTGGCCTGCATTTCAAAGCCAGACTTGTGATCCAAATGCAGAATCCCTCTAGAGAAGTCAGATCACTATTATCATTCGAGGGCAAAAGGAATGGTTGCTCCCTCTGGCTTGGAAAACCTAGAGACCGTATTCCCCAGATTGTCTCTTGGCGGAGTTGATGCACCCAGGTGTCTTGGTCTGGCAGAGGGCAGAAACAGCGGAGCATTGCAAGCCAAACAACAGTTCTGAATTTTTGTGACCTCTTGGCTGAGAATCCAGATGCCTATACACGTGTCATTTTGATTAGTCTTAATGAAGGCCTGGATTTTGGATTCTGTGTTCTCCCCAGATCAAGGGGGCCTGTAGTTCTTTTTATGTGCTGAGATGGGCAATTTGTCCTGGAGAACTGTGGGCTCTCCTCACCTCCTGCCTCCAGGGGTAGATCCCGGGAAGGGGCTGGGAGGCTGACCCTTGCATAACTTCAACCCACCCCACATCCCCTGCTTAAGGCTTTGGGTGGTGGAGGCAGACCCAGCGAAGCCGCCTCCTTTCTCCCTGCCTGGAGTCCTCCTGGCTTGCTGTTCAAGATGTAGACGTGGGTAGTTGCTGGAAGCAAAGTAACGTTGCCTAGAATTCACGCCCCCAACTGCCCCGGTCTGTGGGTGTTCCATTTATAGAGCTCCTGACATTCGCGTTTCTAAACCCCATTAATGCCGTCAAGGATATGGCTTTCTCCCCAAGCTATTTTCACAGGAGATATTTTTACTGCTGTCAGGTCTGTTTCTTTAGCAATGAAAGAGAAACACATCCTGAGAGGTTTTGAAGGCAGCGAAGGCCTGGTGGACGCCTTCTTGCGTTCTGCAGAATTTGGGGGAGTGGAGGACTGCCTTCTCCCAACGGGCTGAATCACAGATTAGCCGAGGGTGGTACGCAAAGCTGGCCTATGTGGCCAGTTAGAGTCTTGAAGCGCTTGGGTGGGAGATGATCAAGAAATTCCAGGGCTACACGATCCCTTGGGAAGTTGGAAACGCATCCCAGACGAAGTCAATGACAAACTACTTCTGTGTTGTTAAAATGGCCTGCGTGCGTCCAGGGAATCCTATTTCCAATTACATGGCTGCACCTGAGGATGAGCAGAGATTGGGCTCACCTCATGAAGCTAAGCAGGGTCAGGTCCGGCTTGTGGTTGTAGGGGAGACAAGGAAATTCCAGAGCCACAAAACTAGACCGGAAGATCCAGAAGCAGCAGTGCTAAACCCCTTCTGACTTGTTGCCTGGAAGACTACAGGGAGGCATCTATCAAGCCCCAACAAGGGTGCCCAGTTCAAAGGAGACATTGCTGTGGTTTCCTAAAGGCTGGCATAGGTGTCAGGGCAGAAATACGTGTTGGGGAAAACATGATCTGGAAGCTGCAAACAATATTTCATGACTGAATCTTGGAGTTTGTAGACTGCTACCATAGCTTGCATCTCTAGCCATGGAGAACTGGGAAATAACTTCTGGCTGCTATGAAATGCAGACATATAAAATAGGAGAGATTAATATGCACGCATGGATATATGTAAAATAATGCAAATTGTGTGCGTGTATTGTGGGGTACATGTGTAAAATGTATGGATGTGAACTAGTGGCCGTGAGTATAGTGTCAAAAATTCAACCACAGCAAATATACATATTTTGAGCAGATGGTTGAACGGTAACGAAAGGGCGCTTCTGCGTTAAGTCAAGGGCCCAAGAGGCAGCTCTGTTGATGGGATATTTTGGGGGGTGGAGGGGAGACAAAAATGTTAGCTGCTCTTTTAGGGTGAAAAGGCTGTGTTGAGCCTCATTTACACCCATTGGCAGCTTTATTTTAGTAAAAACGCATCCCTGAACATTGGCTGGCTTTCTCCCAGCATTCTGCTGCAGTGATTTTGCTCTGGGGTCTTTGTGGCCCACCCTGCTGGGGTTTGGGGATATCAAAGAGCTTTTTAAACGGCTGAGGTTATGCAGGGGAGGGGTGAGGGGCTGCTGGTGACAAAGGTGGTGCTGAGGTTGGGGGGCCGGTGGGGTGGGCTGGTTGGACGGTAGTCCTGGTCCAAGTCCACCCTCAGCTGCAGAAGCTTCTTGGTTGGGCCAGTCACTCTCTCCCGGTCCCCCCACCTCGCAAGGTTGTAATTACGAGGATAAAATGAAGGAGGACCCCTTACACGCATCAGGTACCTAAATGGAATAAATATTCAGGTATAGCCGCTCCCTCTGACCACTGGTGAAAGATTGACTGGGGATGGTGGGACTTCATGCGTTTGAAGGGCAAGGTGGTGGTAGACTTTTCCAAGTGGGTCCTCCCAGGGAGAGGATTGTAAAGAAGAGGGCCTGCCCCCTCCAGTAGGGGGGGCAGCTCAGATCTGATGTGTGTTGGGGGTAACGTGCTTGGCCTTTTCTTTCTGCACAGCATCACGGTGGTGACGTGGAACGTCGGAACCGCCATGCCCCCAAGCGATGTGACCTCCCTCCTGCACCTCAACACGGGGGACTCCAGCGACACTGACATGATTGCTATTGGGTAAGGTGAAGGGACGGCGTGCCTCCTGGGAGATCTGTGGGTCAGCCCCCATTCGGGTCCCTTTTGTAGTGAGAATCAACAGTGTCCAAGAGAGCAGGTCCCAGAACTGGGCTCCCAAGGTTGCTAAGTAGATGTCAGCCTTTTGAGGTAGGCCAGGTCAAGACACAGGCATGGGAGGGATTCACAGGCTTTCCAGATTCGGTTCTTCTGCTCAACAATAAAGATGTTGTTTATTGTTTTATTGTTGAGCAGAAGAACCGAATCTGGAAAGCCTGTGAATTTCTCTCTGCCCCATCTTATACTAAACAAAATCAAGGTAGGGTTACATTGAGTTTCTTTCTCACTCGTTCTTCTTTCTCAGTTTTGGGAAATCTTTTCTGAAAGATCTGGCTCATTCATTCCCCAAGGTTAACTCTACATCCCTTTGCACCTCGCGCTTTGTCACACCCTCAAGGATTTGAACAGCAACAGTGCCACCAAATCGGAAACTGCAAAGCCAGTCAGTCACCTCCAGCATCATGTTCATTCGCAGCAATGCCTTTGGCTCCTCAAAAGGAAGCTGATTCAGTCAGTGGCTGCTGCGGATCTCGGCATCTCCACCACCCCAACTGTTCTGGTGAATAGACAGGCCTCCCGTGGCAGCCATTTTGTTAGTGTGCTTGCCACACACTCTCAAAATTCCCCAAGGGTGGCTTGCTGTGCAGTCACATTGCAGCTTGACTTGGGAGATTGAGTTGTGTCCCCCACCCAGATCTGGCTCCCCTTCGCACTTAGTGGAGTTGGTGAGATTGCAGGGTCTCCAGCGTGGCCATTCCTGAGTGAAATGCACGTGGACACTGTGAGCAGAACAAGCAGGTTGAATCCTGTGAGCTAAGACGTGGCAAGCTTTTTGGTGGTTCGGGAGCCAAATTCAGTGCGAAGGAGGAGGACGAGGCAGGATGATGGGAGGGGAGCAACGCCGGAGGTCACAGAGCAGAACAGGCTGCTTTACCGAGGGAGGAAGAAGCCCAGCTTCCTCCGGTTCCCAGGCAGCAACCGGGCTGCTGATCCGCTGGAGACTTTGAGCAGTGCCCTCCCGTTAGATTTCGAAGACCTTGTGAAGTAATTCATTCAGAGTTTGTTTCTTGGTGGGATCGCCACTCCAGCAGAAACGGGCCAGTTGCATAAAGAGGAACAACAGAAGAAATTAGCATCTCTCTCTTCCAACCGGCCAAAGGCGCCTTTTCATCACAAAAAGGAATGGTGTTATTTACTGAATGCTCGTCAGGGAAAATGGTCGTGATTCTTGTCTCTTTGGAGGAATCCCTTCCCTCTTTTCTGACCAGGGTGCTGCCCAGACTGTTCCCAGTTGCTGCATTCAGCGGCCAGAGCGGGGAGAGGACAGTGGGGATTCCTCCACGGGGTGTTTCGTGGAAGCTGGAAGATGCAAGAGGTGATGCTCTCAGAGCAGCAGGCGAGGGAGGGCCGGGACGGTCCAGGAGAATCCCTCATGGCTGCTGGCGACGAAAATGGATTTGCTCCTCCAGGCTGTCTTCTGTCAATTTGCTGTTGCTACATCTGGCAGCAAGTGGTCCCCTCTCCCCGTATATTATTTGCACTACAGCTGCTGTCTGCTATGCAGTGGAGTTAAATATCTGAAATGAGGTTAAGTCACTGGGTTAGCAACTTACAAGCAAACGTACACGTATGGTGATGTACTAATATCGTATACGAGTGTGGCTTTGAGTCACTCTTGACTCCTTGTGGTGACTGTCTGGACAAGTCCTTGCAGGGTTCCTGGCATCATTTTGGGGTTGGCTATTTCCTTCTTCCTAGGACGCTCTTCCTTGAAAGTGATTGGCAGGAAGGGAATTTTCAGTCTCCTGTTTCTAGCCTGGTGCGTTTAACTGCTGCACCCAATTGGCAGAATAATAAAACCTCATCCTGAAATTTGGCATTTCTGAAACTTTTATCCATGATGTAGGGCTTGTGAATCTTCGTTTCTTCTCGGAGTGGACACTTTCCAGAGGTGACAAGCTGAACCTTTCAGAATTCCTGTTTCCAAGAATTATTTTCATATAATGGCATTTAATTATGATTGTTAATGATTAATTATAGAATGATGACATAATTAATTAATAACATTTAATGCTTTAGCCGTGTCCTTATTTATGTTAAGAAATAAGAAAAAGAGTGGGACAGTAGAAAAAAACGGGGAGAAAGGAAAAGAATTGTTCTCTTGTTTTACGTAGTTCCAAAAGCTTTGAAAAAGCCTCTTCCTCTTAAATTCTGCATCCGGTCACGCTAACTGGCATCAGACTCCTCCAGATTGCCACGTTTTCTTGACTGGTTCACCTCTGGTACTTCTGAAACGGCTCGGCTGCCAACTCCAGCAGCGGAAGAGGGCAGACGGGGGACTTCAGTGTGGCTTTTTCTGAAAGGCTCCTGAGCAGGATCTAGAGAAAAAGCTGGCCCCTTTCCAGGGATGCAGATCTAGGCAGACTAGCGAAAGGTAGGATTTGACAAACAAAGCCTGGCACGCTGCATTCGATCCTGTCAAGATGGTTTGTGCTGCTAAGAAAGTTCTCAAGCTGTGAGTTAAAAGCGTCTTTATTCCACAGAAATGCTCTTGTTCCACATGAGAAGAGTGACAAGCTGGAGGTGAAGTTGTTTGGCCTGGACTCACGGCACCGAGCTCTAAATCGGAAAGTGCCAGAATCCCTTTTAGCCTCCTTGCCTTCCTTGTTTGAAGCCTGGGCACCTGCCTGAAAATGTGAAAGATATCCTGTATATTAGTCAAAATAGCAAAGATCTATAGTTCCCTTTGCTTACAGACCAAAGTCCCAGATAGCAAACCCTACCAATTCAAGAGGATTTCCAAGATTTGAGCTATAGAAATGCAGATCTTCAGCTCGCATTGATCAGAAGCGTTCTCTAACGCTTCTCCTCCTTGTCTCCTGATCCAAGGTCAAATTCTTGGGGTGGAGACGTATGACAATATTTTCAGGGAGCCAAGAAGTGACTCGAAAGAATGGCTGTTCGCTCCCCTGCTCCACGTTCACTTCTTCCAGGGAAATAGGTCTTGTTGGGCATTTGTATCATCTAAAAATCCTGATAAATGCATGCCAGTGACGCGGGCAGAAGAGTTGGCGATCTTCAGACCAGAATTACCTCCTCTTCCATCCTGCAAATAGAACAAGCATCTTCCTAGCCAGGCAGAGTTTCACACGTTCCATTTGGCTTCACAGTGAACCTGAGAAGGGGGTCAGCCAAGGAATTGAAGGCCAGGAATTCTAGCCTTGCCCAAGGGATGTAAGGGCTTCCAGGAGCACCTTCCAGGAAGACTTCAATACTCACAGTGGTTCAACACATTGGGGAAGGCTCCTTCAATAGCAATGCCCCTTGTGTGCTGGGCATCATTTGAACTGGGCATCTGACCACCAAATCTTGGACAATGAGAAATGCGCAGTGGATGCTCCTCCCCCATTCCCTGTCTCCAAACTGGCATGTGCCAAGGGGCTCTGAATGGGCACCAACTGCCCTGTTTCGGCAACACGTTACCACACCTGATATTTGTTCCAGGCAGGGGAACTCACCTGCTTTTTGCTTTTGAATAAGCTGAAAAGGCAAATTGTTGTTGAGCTGCTTAGCGCGAACACCTGAGGAGGACACTTTCCTCTTCGTCTGCTGCAGGCCTCGCTGGGCAGCAATCGATGGGGGAGGACTGAAGGGGTGTTAGGAGAGGACCCTGGTGCAGGGAGGATGTGGAGTGTGACGTTCCCAGAGGGAGTCAGCTGCTGATTTTGCACTTTTTTGCAGGTTGCAGGAGGTGAATTCCATGATCAACAAACGGCTGAAGGATGCTCTCTTCACCGACCAGTGGAGTGAACTTTTCATGGAGGTGTTGAGCCCCTTTAATTTTGTACTGGTAAGCCCTGAGGAAGATCAGGAAGAGATTTGCAGAGCGACTGACCAAAACGCGGCCGGGCAGCTATTATGCACCCTGGAACGCGCAGGGCCAAAATCTCAAACTGGGTTATTTTGGCATTTGGGGAAGGTTACAGGGAGCGATCCCCCCCCCCCGCAAGTCAGAACGCTCTATCGGTTTTTAGCAGTTTAAAGGGTAAAGTGAGGGCAAGGCTTAAGGCATTTCATTTGCCTGTAACCATCCTCCCACCCTCCAAAACCAGGCCACATGACGTGCAATGCCTGCCAGATAAGCCGATTCCTCCCCAGTCATGAAGTGAATGAAGCCCAGAAGCAGATTGATTCAACTCACGTGGCCCAGCCAGAAGCCTTCTGCTCCTGCAGTGAGCCTCTAGAATGCCGCAGGATGGCTAGGAAGATGGACCAAAATATCAGAACCCCAATGATGCCTCCTGGACAGTAGGATTTGGAGCCCCCCCCCGATCTTCTGGGTTTGCAAAACACGTTGAGCCACGCATGAACCAACTAGCATGTTGCATGAACCAGGTTTATTAGTCCTGTCATGCAGACCTGGAAAACCGGGTTAGTTACATCAACTATGGTACAATTTGCTTGGAGCACCCATCATAAATAAACTTTCCGAATAGCCATCGGATGACCTTTTTTTATTATTTATTTATTTGTTTGTTTGTTTATTAAATTTCTCCCCCGCCCATCTCCCCCCAATGGGGGAACTCTGGGCAACTCACACAGAACATTAAAAACATAAATATATATCAATACATAAAACATCAATTTAAAAACATTTCTAAGAAAGGGAAAGGAGAGTCCAAGAAAATGAAAAATCTGGGGCTGAAGACAGGAGGCCTCTATGGGGCTAGCCATCCCCATGCTTGAGGAGTTCAAGGAGAGTCCAAGAAAATGAAAAATCTGGGGCTGAAGACAGGAGGCCTCTATGGGGCTAGCCATCCCCATGCTTGAGGAGTTCCCTCTCCACCCCAGGCCAAGTGGCAGAACCAGGTCTTCAAAGCCTGGTTTGAATTTTTCTAGCAATTTTGGACCCGAGCAGCTAGTGGCTCTCACCTAGCTCCAAACGAATTATATCTGCTCCTCTGGGACCAAGAGAGGCGGCTTTCAGGCGGCGGAAGTGAATCCTCACCATCGAAAAAGACACTGAAGGGTGCCCTCCTTGCTGACTGGCGGAATGAACTCATCACAGAGGAGCTGAGTAAATAGATGTAACTGAATTAGTTCTTTTCCTGGGTTTGTGTACCTTGAGTCATAAATTAATTGGCCAGGGTGGATTTGCACCACAGGCTGAGCCACCGAAAATGAACTGAGCAGGGCTGGCGCATGATATCAAAGCTGCCACTTGGCATTTAATTGATACAGCCAGGCATGTTGAGTGCACATCACTTTGCCCTGGGCATTTGGGACCGAGTCCCAGATTTTCTGGCTCCCTTTGAAAACCGCTATAGCACTTAAACTAACGGGGGTGGAGAGTTTACATGATATGCTATTACATTCAAACGCGCACACATACTTAACTGACCAAAGTAAAGCTGTCCGAGCTTAACGTGTGTCATGAATGCTTGGTTATCTTTCACTGAATATTGTGTGAATGCAACCAGTGGTAGCTGTTTTCCCTCAGGGGGACTTTTCCGCGGAGGAAAAGGGAAAGAAACTGTGGTCAAGACAACAGTGCAGTGGACTGCTCACTTTCTGCATCTTACTTAGGAGTGCAAGAAAGTAATTGAAAATCTGTCTGGAATAAAAATAAAGACCGGAGTTGCCCTGAAAAGCTTGTACAGTTCTCGGTGGGGCTGGCAGTAGGGATATTGCCCAGAAATTGGGCTCCTGGCCCTATCTGAGTTGGGCCTCCTTGGCTTGTAAGCTTAAGAGGTGTTAAGAAATAGGCGATCAGGGCTATTGGAACTGGAATAGACTAGGAGCAATTTCAGGAGTGTGGACTTCAACTCCCAGAATGTTCAGCAATGGCTGTGGAATTCTGGGAGTTGAAGTCCACACACCTGGAAACAGCCACAGTTGGGAAATAATGGGCTGGAGCGTGAATGGCATGGGAAGGGTTCAGGTCACTGGAAAAATGATTGTACAGGTAGACCTCACTTACCGGCTGCCTTGTTCAGCGGTGGCAATCCCATGATGGAGGGATGCTGTGAAGATCCTAAATGGGGGTATTGGTTGTAAAGTTATTTTTTCAGTGTTTGAAGTTACGATGGTGCTGAAAAAATAACTTTACAACCAATACCCCCATTTAGGATCTTTGCAGCATCCCTCCGTCATGGGATCGCCATTGCAGTCAGTATGTGTTGTCCTGTGCCTGACCTGTGGTTTTTCTTTCTTTCTCTACTTGTAGAGCAGAAAGATTGGAGAGGAAGGGATTACAAGAGAGTAAGCAGGCACACAATGGGGAATACACTTGGCTGTTTGCATACCGTGCTTGGGGCTGCCGGCACCAGCACATTGCTTTCCATGTGTGTTCCCCGTTGTGTACCTGCTTACTCTCTTGTAATCCCTTCCTCTCCAATGAATGTAAATACAAACACTGATTCCCTTGCTCATTGTCCCATCGCTGGGGTGAGCATTCCAAAGGGTGGGGAGTGGGGAGAAGGAAAGCACAGTCACCATCGCATGATTTCCCACTTAGCAACTGCTTTGCTTAACGACGGAGCTGCCAGTCCCCGTTGTGGTCACTAAGCGAGGACTGTCTATAAAGTGAAAGCAGTTGCATCCCCTATCCCCCCTCCTTGCAGAGGCAAGCTAAAAAAATAAAATACATCCCAGCTCTGTGCCACATCTGGGAGAATTTCACCAACTTTTTTCTCCTTTGAAAAGGTTTTTTTTGGCTACCCATCTTAGTAAGAATCATTGGGGGAAAAAGGCAGACTTTGGGGAAAGTCCTGGCACTGGGGCACCAAATTCCAGCGATGGGATTGCCAACCAAGCCTGCCTTTTTCCACGATGACACGTGGCCGTTATCGCCATAGCGACGCCACGGAGACAGCAAGGAGCAGGTGCTGCTGAGACGGAGAAAATGGGAAGCGGCTGCCGCAGATCCCCAGAGCTTATCCTGAAACCTGGTTGGCGGTTTCCAAGCAGGGCTGCCTCTGCGCTGCTCCCGGTGAGGACTGCGGGTCCTCTTACAGCAGCATCCCGTCTCCTCTCCTTGGAACTCGGCACCTGCGGTCGGTCTGTTACGTCACGGCTGACATGCGGCTGTGCTTTCTGGATATTTTTTCCCTTTGTTTCTTTTATTGATCGGATGTGTCCCTCCCTCCCTCCCTCCCTCGCAGCCACTTAAAGTAAAAAAAAATATAAAATTGGAAGATCACATCCAAGCAAAGCCAGTCAGCTCCGGTGCCAAGCCAGACAGAGACCGCCGGTTGCTGCAGGATTTTCGAGCAGTTGACCTGCGGTCTCTAACTGAGACGGCTTCACAGATTCGCCAATCAGACTGCGGGAGCTTCCTTGCAGGAGGCTGGAGTCCGGAAGATTTATTGATCAATTTCTTTGCTAGTTCGGTAGCCTATCTCAAGATCTCAAGGGGCGTACATGGTGCTTCCTCCTGTTTTCCCCCCCCAACAGCCAGATAGGATGAGCTGAGTGGGCCAAAACAGGCGAGACAGAAAACCATCCAATCGGTCTGCATTCCAGTGGAAAGTCCGTATCCACGCAACAGAGGTGGTGGCAGTTTCAAACTCTTCGGGGCAGATTCCCCGTAAATAAAGTGGCTCCCAGGAAAGAAAGCAATAGCCGTTTCCCATTTGCTGGGTTGCCTTTATCTTTAGCCCTTTTGCCAAACCCAGCTTGCCCTTGGGGGAAACCACGTGGTAAGTCAAGTCATCACGTGGGTCAGCATTTTGCAAACAGGTTCAGCCACCTGGCTTGGATTACTGAGTATCTTTATGGCTGCCACAAAGTTCGAAATGAGGAACGTTCCACTTTACAGCTGGCCCTTAAGTCTCACTTTTATATGCATGGAATGAAGTTATTTGTTGGGCTGTGTTTGCACCAATACAGCATCATTATGTCTAGTGCAGTGTTGTCCAAACTTGGCCCCTTTAAGATGAGTGGACTTCAACTCCCAGAATTCCCCAGCC